GGGGGAGAAAGGGGCTAAGGTCCCAACAGGTTCCAATGAACCTCAAAAATACTTTGACCGCTGTGGTCACCTTGTGCCCTGCCGAAGCGGCTGGCTGCTTTGACCGCTGCGGTCACGTAAAGGCATAAGCCAGCTTGGAATTCCCAAAACTGTCCGCTGCGGACACGTACATCTCCGGGCAGGGGAGATAACGACGTACACCCGTTCAACGGGTCCACGGGAGGCACTCTGCGGGCTCATCCCGGGTTGGCACGAGGCCAAACACACTTAGGATAGGGTGTACTGAACTGAAAGCGGTGCCACACGCCGGCCTAGGTTACCAATTCCTAAGAGTACAGGTCAGGAAACCTGAAAAGGAAGTGGAGGTCCATCAAGTTCAGCGTGGCCATCAACTCTAAAGGAACCGTCGAACGACCAAGCGACAGAGTGACGTCGTCCGAAACCAAAGCCCTATGCGTGACTGCCGAGAGCAAACCGGTGCAAAGGCTGGATTTCTTGTTTTAGGTACAAGCAGGCCCGGAGATTGGAGTAATTATCACAGCAGGTACAGGAAACTGGCCAAGTTTCCCTTCCCACTCTCGCCCACAGCTTCATTGCGTGTGGTAGGACGAGAGTGCCACACGCCCCTGCTACACAAGGAAAACAACTGTGAAGCTAAAACAATCCGAAAGGATCCCTATGATTCCAAGGGTTACACCCACACACACACACACCTCCCCTTCACCCCTACGAACACTATTTCAACATCAGAGACGCACATCTCTCAGAGTTCCAACTACTTTTCGCGTCCCGTTGTGCCCTCTTTCCTATCATCGAGATGAACTCCACCCCTAGTAGAAGACGGTTTACATTGCCTCCTGAGCCCCTGATGATGCTAATGATGCACTACTCGCCGTCAATTACATCACTTGCATCACAACACCTCAAAAACCACTCATTTTCACTGCCTCCTGGCCACCTCTTTTCTTCGCTCTCCCAACCAGGCTCTGAGTTAGCCCTCCGAAACTGGCCCGTGTGCGACCACCCCCCCCCCACACCCCCTTAACTCACTTCGTTCGCCCAACCCAACTTCAGCCTAGCCTATCGGCTGGCTTTCGTGACATAATTTACATAAATATCCAAATGGACAGTGCCCACAACTCCTCCCTTGAGGAAATCACTAACTTTGGGGGGTCTTGAGAAACCATAGACCTGCTGAACAGCAAAAAGCACAAGTGCTAAGCCTGCACAACATCCTCACCCACTGCGGATCTGAGTGTCAAACACAGCACGGAGGTGAGAGTATGCACCACCGGTAGACGAGGTGATGCAGGTGCGATTTCAGGATCCAAATCCTGGACAAATCCATCTCACTCAAACGCTTTGGATTTGTCTTTGGAATCGCTGGATGAGCGCAGAACACTTCTCATGGGTCCCGCCTCACACACGAAGAAGTGCAAGTCATCGTCAAAAAAGCCTCAGGGCATGCATCCAATGGTGAAGACATAGATCCTTCTCTTCGACCAGCAAAAATTACTGACATTTGTTCACATGGACGTCCTTGCAACAGAGCAAAACAAAGCAGGGAATAGATGGAAACAGTCAGCAGGAAGCTACTAGGGGCTTGTGGCATCGCTACTAGTAACAAAGGGCATCGCTACTAGGGGCTCCTGGCCTTACTATTATAGTAACAAGAAGGCTACTAGTAACAAGGACGCTATGAAGTGGCACCAGCTTCACATGCTTCAGGACTCCCACCGGCTCCGTATGGCAAGCGTGGCCTTGGTAGACAGCAGGTCGAGCGATCGCCCTATGAGATCGTGGGCCGCCTGGTTGTGGGTCAAGTTTACCTTGTTCCTTCATGTTCCTTCCAAAATGGGCCTCAACTGATCTCTTGGGTCAATCGATGTGTTGAAGTTGTTGAAAGTGCCACCATACTGAAAATCCCTGCCCATCACCAGCTTGCAACTTATCGATCGTAGCACCTCTTGGCGCTTGGAGAATCTGACGCGTTGCAGTCCACTTCAGAAACTCCACTTCCGGAGGTCCGCAGGCAGGTCACGAAACTATGCATCCACTTCTTCACATCTACTTACTCACACCAAAGGTCACTTCTCCCTTCAAACGGAACCGAACAACTCTCCGCAAGCGTAACGTCTTCGGCTTCGAACGTAACGTCTTAAGCGCCCGCATCCGTCGCGCCGTAGGTCTCCCCGACGCGGACACCGCGTCTGCCGTTCCACCAAAGGATCGGTATAACTCGGCCCTCGATCGCAGCGAACACTCCGTCCAGCCGGAATTCGAAAGATCAAACGGTGATGCTCGGTGTCCCAACTGGTCCAAAAGGCAGAACAAAAGGTTGAAATAAATTATGAAATTCATGAAATGTCCGAACATCTGTCAGTATATAGGAACAAAATGGAGCTGTCCTGAATCTTAAATGTCGAAAAAAAATCATCAAACATCATCAAACATCAAACAGCTCCACGGCCTGCTGCTAAAGGCTTCGCAAGCGGTGCGAGCGTATTGCCTCGGTGGCCCATCAAAAGGAGACGGCCAAAACACCGAGCTGAAGAATACGTCCCCGTTGTCCAACTGCCTTTGACCCCCATGAGATTGAGGATTGTCTTGAAATCTTTCGGTGGGTTGGAAGCACCCCTGGTCATCGTGTTTAGACCATGCACACAATATGGTGCAGAGGTCATGACATTTGCTCATTGCCTGCATGGATGTCCGTTCGCTCAGGCGGGCACTCTAGCTTCTCACACAACTTTGGTGTGCACAGCTCCTCAACACGGAGCTGTTGAGTGTGTTGACCGATGTCCCATGCGATGCTGCGAGCGGGAGTAGTGCGCTCGGCATTGAATGGTCAACTCTCAGGCTGCCCAACGCTTTCTCTCCTGCGAAAGGCGTATGTCAAAGAAGGCATGCACCAGCGAAATGGCGAGCCTCAGAAAAAAAGCAAGGTTGGCAAGACCTGTTTGGAGATCCTCTCAGGGTGGCTGACAAGACTAAGTCAGCGGCAAGCCATAAATCACAGCATTCCTTGGTGAAGGCTTGGAGCAATCAAATTTACAGAGACATACAGAGACTGATTCTTCCTTGTGATCACCTTTGGTCCTGCTCGGTGCGCTCAGAAAAACAGATCTATGAAACACAGATATTACCTCAGGGAATAGTTTTCATTACCTTCTTGGGAACCTGGTTTCATCTTGGGAATATTTCAGCCGGACAACACGGCGCCGGTCGCACCCTTCGCTACATCGCCCACCTGATCCCGCGGCGGCCTCGGCGGGTCTCGTCTCGGGTTGAGGCTCCAGCTGTTGCCACACGGTCTCCGGGCTTTCCTGGCATCACATCGGTCATTCACATCGGTATGGGCTCGGAACGCGGCGGATCCCCCTGATCGGTTGATCTACACACTTCTTGGAGGATGGTTTTGACCCGCCATGTCTGTCCAGGCTCGCATGCTTGACAGTGCTTGATGTGAACTGGAGAGGTTGCTTTTCGAGAGTCATCAAGCCTAATCGCTGGAATTTCTCTTTACGAACGTTTGGCTCTATGTTCTCAACAAATACTGTTTGTGCAAACATCTTTGGCCAGATCACAATAATTGCATTGCTGCTTTTCGTCCGCGCTGCCACTTGGAATGTCAACGGCTGATGGGTCTGGGTCAACTTCAGATTAAAAAGGCTGCTAAGATTGCCGGCATCCTCACGAATCCCACCTCTATTCCGATGTCAGAATTGCATGCTTGCTAAAACAAAGATATGCAAAGGTCATGAGACAATAAAGTATATTTGTCCGAAAGACACTCTGTTCCCAAATATGAACAATTCTCATTCTAGCCCTATCTGACGACGGTTGCACAAGGAGCAGGGTGCCAGAGGGTGCTGCAAGGGAAATTGAACGGACAACAGCTTGAAAACCCTTGGAATGCGGGACCAAACACCAAGGCCACACTAGCTTCCTTCGGATTGCCCCACTACCGTATGCTGTGGTCGTGACCGAAGTGACTTTATAAACTCAAGTTTGCTTCTTTGTGACTACAAACCCCAGAAGTTGTGAAAACAATATCTAATGCCATCTGAATTTCCGCAGCTGGCGGATATCATCTGAAGCTGCTGTGAAGAGCTTGCTGTGAATCCCCAGGCGCAGCTAGACTCGACTTTGCAATCTTTGCATGAAGCCTCCGGTCACAAGAATCAACCCCTTGGGCTTCTCCGTAAAACTATCGGCCGCAGTCGGCCATGTTCCTTCGAAAGCAAGGCCACAAAATCTTAAGAAACAACTCGTTGGAAGCTCTAACGTACTCGATATGTTCGTTCCCCAATCTCATCCTTCCAAATCTCTTGAGGGGACTTTTCAGGGTTGAGGTTGACATTGATGGATTCATCTCTGTCTGATGTGATGGGTATAGTTCCCTGATGCTATGCTCGCTGCAGGAACATCGGAAGACGAAAAGCTTGCCCCGCCGAGCGGACTCAGCTGTGGCGATCGTGTATGATCTCACCTCCGCGATCGTTGCATCACGCGCGGCGACATGCCCACTGAATCAAACAACCAAAAATCCTCTGGTGGCAATGGAGGAGGATCTATCCGGGCTGAGCTCTTTTCAGTCAAGTACCCTGCACTCACAACTATGATCACATGCATTGCGATGTTCTGAAGGTGCTACTTGATACCTGAGTGAAAGATGGCTCTCATTGGAGAACAAAAGACTCTGAGACTGGAAAACAATCGGGAACTTGGTCAGGATGGGACCAGGGGACTGTCTCCCAAACTTCTCATTTTCAGACTTCTGAAGCTTAACACTGCATGCGCACAAATCGATTACGCCTGGCAAGTGCGCACGAATCTCCTCACTCGAGGCCCATCATGTCGAACCTGGGGGCGTTCGCGGATGGAGCTGCTGGTGTTTCAACCGAAGGCAGTGTCTTCAAGATCCCAAACACATGGAAGCACCCCAGAAACCAAAGGCTCGCTTGAAGTCGCTTTATTTTTTCCGAGAAGCCAATAGGTCTTGAAGCGGGGCATCAGCACCGCCAAGATCGCACCACTGCCGCCCAGGTGAACCATCTTGGGTCCAACACCAGCATAGAGGCCACCTGGAGGATTACACCCGGAAAGATTAACATGGAACCTTTGGAAGACGATTTTCCTCTACAACCCAGTGGTTTTCAGGTTCCATGTTAATCTTCCAGGGCGTACACAAGTTCTTCCATCAGCCAAACGGAGAGTTTTCCACTCTTCCGCCAAAAACAAACGATGTTGGCAAGTGGTGTTACATTTTGATCAACTCACCAAATCAGCTAAGCTCCATGAGCTCTAGGCTTCTGGCCGATGCCTTTAGTTGATGCCAGGTTGGCCGCCTGGGAGAAGGAACATAGAAGAACTGAGACAAAAAACCTTGACATCGACATCCCAAAGCGAAAGCAGTTTGAGATCAACCTCAAGTGGGTTTCGACTTTGCAAGTAAGTCTATTCGGACATTGAGACATCGTCTTTGTCAGCATATGTCAAGACCCTTGAGACCTTGCTACATAAAGTACCTGTGCTCGTGGCCGGGCCCTATTCCCGCGTACGGGCCGGGCTGTGCATGTTCACTAGACTACGTGTCCAAGCCTGGGTGAAATTCTGTCAACATGAAAGGCCCACAGAAAAAGAAGGTCACTAAGAATGCCGTTGCTAATGATGTTGTTCAGACCAGTTTACCTGAGGTTCAGTGTCTTCAACTTGCACATACCACATTGTCCACATTGTACGATCTTGCAAAGAATGTGTCTTTATAACCGTTATAAATCTAAATAGAATAGAAGAAGGAAAAAAACCATATATAGAGAGAGAGAGAGAGATTAAAAGAACTGGAACTTCTCCTCACAGTTTCCAGTTAAGTTGAGTTTGCATCTCTCGCCTCCGCAAAGAAGGGTCCAGGGTTGTAGGGCGCCAAAGCGCTGGGTCGTGGAATGCTGGGGTCGAAGGTGTCGGCCAGGGCCTCGGGAGAACAAAAACAAGGAGTTTTTCTCCCAGCCGCAGAGTATCTCAGAGTGCTGGAAATCTGACGGTTTTTTTCGGTCAAGTGCCTTGGGCTCTTGGAATGAGCTTGAAAATACTACCAAAGCTGGGGTTGCTCATCAAAGAAAATCAGCTCCTCATCCCATCAACATCTCATCAGCTCCTTTGGGGCATCTCTCTGTGCCTTCTTCTGGACAATGGATCGGCAGACCTCGCTGTTTTGGCGCATTGCAGACATGACGTGGCATGAATCTTCAACTGCCCACGTAGCACACAGTCGATGAGCGAGATCGCAACACATTGCCATAAATGGCACATGCTCATAGCTGATATCGCTGTATAATCCTGCACATATATCCTTTCTCATCTATGTCATCTTTCTATATATTGCCCATGCAGTATGATGCAGTATGTTTAAATAAATAGTATGCTGTCCAGTGGATACGGTTCGTCGACATATGTCATGTCTTGGCCAAGCGGCATCAGTCCAGCAATTCATGGCTGTGCCCGTGGCGCCCGCCGCAAAGCCAGACAGAACATCCTGAAAAAACAAGCTGTCAAAGTCAGTGAAGTGGTTGAGATCAGAAAATGAGTGTGAGACATGTATTATATATATAATGCAAAAGCCACAGAACTACCCTGACTTGAAACTAGAGGGATTTGGAAGGATGAACGTGATCACCTAGTTGGGAAACATCAAGCTTCCAGCTCGCCTGTGCCAGCTTGTTTGACACGACGTTGGAGACCTAATGGCACATCCAAGAAAGCCGCACATTGATGCGCTGGGACCGGCGCCCAGTATGACAAGTTGGGACCTGCAACTCTCACACTGAGAGTTCACACCGCGCCCTTGTAGACATCCAAGGTCAAGAAGAAGCCGCCAGTCCACAAACACTGTCGGACCTGCCAGGGCTACAGAGCTTTGAGGCTCTGTGCGTTCAGTCTGCAACCCCTTTTGCGGCGCAATTTGCTTTTTTTTCCCAGAGGTGCCAATATTACTAGTGTCCAATCTTCCGGATCTTCATCAACTCTATTCGCTGACTATCTGATGCTTGTATATATATATATACTATATATAATGACTTCCTTTGATGGGCTGAGTCTACAAAATACGGTTTGCAGAAGTAGGCAGCTTCCAGCACTCACGCTCTTGAGAGGAGGGGAAGCTTCAAGGAGTAGGGTAAAGCGCGGTCACACACAGCGAGAGGATGTGCGGGCGACCTTTGCATGCGTGCTTTAATCAGTGTTACACCGCCCGTGTTCATGACTCTTCTGATCTCTGGTCTTTAGATGTGTTAGCATGTCTCCAGACACAAGAAGTCGATGTCTTTACCGCGGAAACATCCCACCTGCATGCCAGCATAGCCAATCATCAAACCGCCAAAGCCTCGAGTCTTCCAGATGTGCTTGGCAATGTCCGCCTCGGACGCGAGAGAGCGCAGTTCGAGCCGAGCAGCAGTTCGAGCCGCAGTCCGGCGGGTCTGCAATTGCACCCCGAACCAACAGTCCATGTTTAACATCATTTCACCATATCTCACTTGTTTGCTGCTAAATGTTCTTTGGGATTCATTTTTGCACTACCCTGTGATTCTGGAGTACAATTCTAGTAGATTCAGGCGTTTGCATCATGCCTTCAAGCTCACCATGTCATTGCCTCACTCTCTCAAGTCCAGGTATGAATAATCTTTCTCTGAGGCCGGATCAGATCCGTTAAACCTTCCCTCCTTGTCCAATTGTGCGGCAAGCTTGATGTTCCTTATTACCACAGAAATACGTTGACATGTCTTTGCACAAGAGATGCTTCTCCGTGACAAGAATCCTTGACTCGACTTTGCACGGTATCTCGTGGATGTCATGAGTCCACAACCGGATTGAAGCGACCAGTGTACTCAATCCAGCCAAGCCACTCCAAGGGAGAAATTGCTAACACCTGCCAAAACGGGCGCTGACAAACGGCGCATTCCTCCTTCCTTCCCCCACGAACCGTCTCCGACACCCTGGTGTCATTTGATCAAGAAAACACGAAATGGCTGCCAACAACTTGAGACACAACACATTACCAAAAGGTGAAAATGACCCGATAATCACTCCAATTCTGTGTAATTATAAACACATGATTTGCACTCTCTCACACTCTCTCTCTCTCTCTCTCGCTCCAGTGGTGAAGGGATATATGTCACGTTCCTGTAAACGAATTCACCATTCAACTGTCTATCTCTGACGCAGATCCGCCGCTGCACGCTCCCACCTCTGGCACCGTGCCAATGGCTCCTGCCAAGCCCTTGCTGACAGGGCTGCCCTTGGTCTCAGGGACGCCGTAGAGGCTCTTGTG